AAAATACCGCCAAATCGAAAACTTTTTGAAGTATGTTTAAAATGGAGCAAATTCGTACCTACTCACCATTTAGCTATCTATCACTAAATTTCCCACAAACGGACAAACAGACAATAAATAAAACAGTAAATCAGGCGACATGTCGCTACGGACGTATGCCCCCCGTGAAATTTATTGTAGTCAGCGTGTTGCCGCCATTGCATCACCACCACAGATAAAGCGTAACCATAGAGGCATAGACAAATTGCTCTGCACTCACTATTAATTGAGTACTGTATATTTCGTCCTTTAGTAAAAATTGTGAATATTAAAAAAAAAGAATTACGTAAAAATTTTTAGCAATTATACACATTTTATTTATCGAATAAACTGCAAAAATAAAAAAATAAATAGATACAATTAGCAAGATATCGGCTGTATGAGTTAAAGCCTTTAGCCTCGTAAGGAGTAAAGACGTCCGATGTCGGAAAAAAACTCCGTCATCAGAGCTAAGAACAAGGAATTACATAGAAGGACTGATAAAATAAAAACTATTAATCATATGGTTGGCTCCTTTCTTCTTAGGCAAATATAATTAGTAAAAAAAAGGACGAAAGATATACGGCCGTATAAACCTACCAAATTCGGATACAACCTGCTTGCATACCTTCTACACAAACTCTGTCGAATATATAATCCAGAAATGTTAAAATTTATCGTTAACAAATAATTGACATATGAAACATTTTCAATAAACTAGCCTACTAAGAATTAAGAAAAATAGCAACTGATTGTGTATCTTTCGTCCCCTTTTTACTAATTATATTTGCATAAGAAGAAAGGAGGCAAACATATGATTTACAGTTTTTATTTTATCATTCCTTCTATGTAATTCCTTGTTCTTAGCATCAGAGCGAAGGGGCAAAGGAAAGTGGATCACATATTAAGAAAATCTGCCACACCAAAGAGGCTATATTACCACAATTTTAAGTAATCACTGAATTTAAACATAACATTAAAGTTTCACTAGTGTATAGATGTAATAGATTAACAATATTTCTCAGTATCATTAAGTTTGTATTCCATTAGACTAACTTCATTTGAGGCAAAATCAGATATTTTGATATAAAAACTAAATTTCGATACAATTTCTATGGGACCGATCTGTAAGTATGTCCATTCAGATAAAAAAAAAAGAATTTTCCAAATCGATTTACAACTTACGGAGATATCGTCATAGTGGTAGAATACTGACGGATCTTTATATGTAATATTCGTCAGATCCGTCAGTATTCTACGACTATGACGATATGGGGTAAGAAACATAAAAAAAATACAACCGAATTGAGCATTTACTTCTTTTTGAAGTCACCTAAAAATATTGCTTTTTAGTGATACGTCCGTCATTTTAGAGTTATGCTCAAAAAATCCACTTATTACAGCTTATTTGATATATATATTTTTATACAACTTAGAATGACAAAGAAGCTGACGGCCCACCTGATGGAAAATAGTAACCATCGCCTATAGACATGAGCAGTACTATGGACATAACAGAGTATACTGTTTCGCCCATGATACCCCTCATGCGTTGCCATTCCTGAGGACTCAGGTGTTATTTTTCTGTACCTTGTAAATTCACGCCATATCCCACCCTTCAAACCGAAATACAGCCATGCAAACACAATTATGGTTGAAATAAAATTGGGACAGAGGTATCAAAGCAAACGACTTTTGTACAAAGTCTCCCTCTGGCAAACATTCTGGAACATTCAAAAATATTCTGGGACTACAAGAAAACAAATAGATATAAAACCAAATAGAATTTAAATCCGGCCGATTGTATTTACGACTAGATTGCACTTGCAATACCGACTACCAACATTTGCCCATCTTAAGTTTTCACATTTCGCCCTGATAGATTCAAATAGGAGTCCCCGCTTGACCATTTATGTTAACCCCTACAAATCTCGTATAGCGTAATGTCCCCTCGTACCCCGGGGTCGCAATGTACCCCGGCACAAATGTCCAGAGATAAGCGTCTTGAGACAATTGCAGCGGGCACTGGTTACAGCGTAGACATTCGAATAGATTAGATATGGCCGTGTGATAGTAAAATGTTTTATTCAAACATAATAAAATTATCTTATAATAAATTTTACCGGTGATTTTATTACAATAATATAGGAATGAATAACTATTTAAGCAGCAAATTCCAGTATCTTTTTGAAACTCACTATCTTAACCTTCGTTCCCGTAATACTCTCCAACTATCTTTCCCCTCTCACCGTACTGGTTTCGTTTCAAATTCTTTTCTCCTACATTCTTCACGACTCTGGAACGCGCTTCCTGATACCATTAAGAGACTACCGACTAAACCGTCTTTCAAAAAAAACGTTCACGCTCAATTGTTACTTTATCTGAGCAGTAAGTACTTTATATTATTCTCAATTTCGTGTATAATATAGTATATGCCATATATGTGTAAGTATATTTGTTATTTATATATATTTAGTCGTTTATATATGTAATTTTAGTATGTATGTATATCAATAATTAGTAGTACCGCATTCGAGTATTGTGACACTTCTCTATGGTTGACTGGGAGAGAATGCTTTTAGCATTAAGTCCGCCATGTACACATATTTGTACTAAAGAATAAATAAATAAATTAGTTATTTATATTACCATTATATATTTAAGCTTTTTTTCGATCTAATTATACATAAGTTAAACCGGTAGTTATTACATTAAATTATAAATGTTTACGAAACTTATAACAATAATATTATTATTTGGTCGTGTGGTCCCGGCATAGAATAGGCCACCCCTTCCTTTCCCGTGGGTGTGGTAAGCAAGAACGTGGGATGAGCAGCAACGTCCCTCTTAAAACATCTCTAAATCCTAACTGCCGTTGCCAATCCGTCTGTCAAGCGTGGCAACAACTGACAATTTCATTTTAATCCGTCCAACCATTAAGAAGTGATCGACATGAGTCAATTCTGTATAAGTGTTACTTTAAATCCTTACCTCTTTATTAATAAAAAAAGTGAAAACTCACATTAACTTATTTTAGTTATTGAACTGTTTTGTCTCTTTCTTTTACACTCAACTCCTAATTTAAAAGAAAGTAATAAAAGTAAATTTATAGAACATTTAAAATTTTTTAAAAGAGGGTAGTTTTTTTTTATACAACTTAGAATGTCAAACAAGCTAACGGCCCACCTGATGGAAAGCGGTAACCGTCGCCTATAGACATGAGCAGTACCATGGACAGTACAACAGAATGTATTGTTTCTCCCATGATACCCCCCATGCATTGCCATTCCTGAAGACTCAAGTGTTATTCCTCTGTACCCAGTAAATTCACGCCATATCCCACCCTATCCTTCAAACCGAAACACAGCCATGCAAACACAGCTGCTTCACAGTTGAAACACGAATGGGACAGAGGTACCCAAGCAATCGACTTTTGTACAAAGTCTCCCTCTGGTATAAAAGTTGGTGGTTGTATAAAAGACTCTACTTATTTTGAGTCAGGAAAATATCTTAAAGCTTTATGTTACTTATCATATGTAGTTGTAAGAAAGATAAAAGAAAAAGATCATTTATTGGATCTCGCTTAGAACGGAGCATATCTAATCTCTGTCAGAACATTCTTAACTCTGCGCCGTGCAATGTCTTAAGGGCACTCAGACAAATCGCCGGCTATCGCTCAAGTGTAGATAAGCGTCGTTACACGCAGCTGTCGCCGTCTGCGATCCCACTGTCCCGGGATGCCGGGATTAGCCCGGGATCTCGGCAGGTGGACAGTGTGTAATGCTGTTAATTCTATGGATTTATTCCACGTTCAGTTGTCGTATTGCAGTCGATGGTGGGTGTACATATGTTTTGTTTGGATTTTTCTATTTATTTTTCTATTATTATTATTTTTAATAAGGAATTTCGCGACTGACTCTTGGCCACGACAGAATATCAGTGTTTTGCTCTTTTGAGGGCAAAGCAGTAAGCTGAGTTGTGACCATTTTGTGTTACTATGGCACACGCAAGAAGGAAAAAAAAAGGAACATGTTGTTTTATATATTTTGCTTTTTGTTTTTTTTTTTTTGTTGCTTTTTTGTTTTTAATTCTTTTATCTCTTTTACTATTATGTGTATGTTTATATTGTACTTTGTGTGCCATGTTGCCATTCCAATGGTCTCCTAAAACGTACGTGTTCGAGGATTGTTCGGTGGTCGCACAATAAAGAAGCGAACAATTTAGAAGAACTTAATATGTAGGTACCGGGGGGAAGGGATTGTTAGTAATGGGGAGGTTAGTCCCCATCGCTATCAATATACCCTATCAGGTCGACCTCCACCCGTTTCCCCCTGGAAACCGTCGTGACTATTTTATCGTTGAATTCGTCATGAAGAGCTAACCGACTTACTATTTTCATCCTCACCTATCATACTTTACTGGTGCCCCGCCAGTGTATACCGATAGCGCAGGCGGGTCACCATTCCATTATCATCCATTAAAAAAAAACAAGTCTGTTTTAATACTAGTATTTTTACTTCGAATTTGAAGGTAATGATACCACTTTTTAGACCTTTAGACCGAAACTGAGCTGTACAATCACAGCTTAGCAGAAATTTGTTAACTTCTCTTCATTAGTGTAAAATAATACCAGTGTAAAATAAATCACCAGAGGGAGACTTTGTACAAAAGTCGATTGCTTGGGTACCTCTGTCCCATTCGTGTTTCAACCGTGAAGCAGTTGTGTTTGCATGGCTGTGTTTCGGTTTGAAGGGTGGGATATGGCGTGAATTTATTGAGTACAGAGGAATAATACCTGAGTCCTCAGGAATGGCAACGCATGGGGGGTATCATGGGCGAAACAGTACTATACTCTGTTATGTGCATGGTACTGCTCATGTCTATAGGCAACGGTTACCACTTTCCATCAGGTGGGCCGTCAGCTTGTTTGCCATTCCAAGTTGTATAAAAAAAAATACGTACCAAACTGGAATAATACATACATAGATAATAGATACAGGTTCACAGCACGGCTGCTGTAATCATTCTTACCTGAAAGAAAAGAAATCATGATTAAGTTAAAGTTACAGGTAATACATTTAATATTTATGTATCATCATACTGTCCACTGGTGAACGTAAGCCTCCCCCAGGGGCTTTTGCCAGTAGTTCGCGACTGACTCTTGGCCACAGCAGAATATCAGTGTTTTGCTCTTTTAAGGGCAAAGCAATAAACTGAGATGTGACCATTTTACGTTACTATGGTACACGCGTGAAGGAAGGGAAGAAAGGAGATTGTTAGTTTATATATTTTGTATTTTTGTTTGTTTTGTGCTTTTTTATTTTTATTATTTTATCTCTTTTATTATGTATTTTGTGTATGTTTTTTTTTATTGTAATTTGTGTGCTGTAAGTAATGTAAATAAATTATCTATCTATCTAGTTGTCGTATTTAGTAGGCGCAGTAAGGCTTTGAAAATGTTTTAAGAGGGACGCTGCTGCCCATCCTACGCCCTCCCTTAGTCGTCTCTTACAACACCCACGGGAACGAACTCATCATCTCAAATATGTTCTGAAAATACAAAGATGTGGGGTATAATTTTTTTGCATGGATTAAATGTATTCAAAATTCCCATCCCGTACTTCTTGGGCTCCTATCATTTAGCCTAGAAAAACCTATCATTCCCACACTCTGAACTGTATGGAGAAGATCTGAGTATTTTAGGAGACTGTTAAGTCATATGTGTGAGTACCTATGTCACCTTCTATCTACATTCAAGAAAAGGGGTCGTTAATAATGGGATGTTAAAGGTTTTTTTTTTTTTTTATAGAACTTAGAATGGCAAACAAGCTGACGGTCCACCTGATAGAAAGTGGTAAACGTCGCCTATACCATACACATGAGCAGTACCATGGACATAACAGAGTATACAGTTTCGCTCATGATATCCCCCATGCGTTGCCATTCCTGAGGACTCAGGTGTTGTTCCTCTGTACTCAATAAATTCACGCCATATCCCACCCTTCAAACCAAAACACAGCCATGCAAACACAACTGCTTCACGGTTGAAACACGAGTGGGACAGAGGTACCCAAGCAATCGACTTTTGTACAAAGTATCAACTATCAAAGTAACTATCAGACCAAAGTCTATTCACCCATGAAGCCATCTTGGTTAATTTTTGTTGAATTAATCACCATATGCCAAATAATCTTTCATTTTCACCCATCATCTCTTACTGGTGTCCTACTAGCGTAAACCGATAGCAAAGGCGGGCATAGTATTCTGTTTTCATCTCAGAAAAAAGAATTATTCGTTTCGACATAAATGTTTTTTTTTTTTTGTAATTTATAATTAACACAATCGTTAGAAACTCACTCACAGTGGATATTCAGACTTGAAAAAGTCTCATTTCAGCTGAGCTCAATGTACTTTTTTTGTAATGGGTGATAATGGAATGGCAAACCCCACCCGTGCTATCGGTATACACCGGTAGGGCACCAGTGAAGGATGATAGGTGAGAATGAAGTAGGTCAATTAGCCCTGACGAATTAAACTAGAATTAGTCACGATGGTTTCCAGGGGGAGCCACGTGGAGGTCGATCTGACAGGGTATATTGCTAGTAATAGGGCTATTTGACTCCATTACTAACAATCCCTTTCCCCCCAGCTCAATGTACTTAGCTTTATACAGAGCGATGCAGGTCTCAAAACAATGATAAATGCCGTCAGACGTACGGGAATACGACGCGGTCGCAACGCGGCCTGGTGGCTGTTTAATGAAGAATAATGCGTGTCGTGACGCCAGATTAGCGTGTACAGAGTAATGCGCTAACGCCACACTGTTCGCATTGTCTCCCGTCATAATGAATGCCGATATTATCGTACCAGCTTTTAACTATCCACTGTTAAACGTAAGCTTCCACTTACGAGGGTTTTGCTAGATAGATAGATAAATAGATAAACACTTTATTTGAGCCATTTATGACGCACGTCAATTAACAAATGAGTTTATACAATCAGATTATTTTACATCTTTTTAAATATAAAACAAAAGATAAAGTAGGGAAATATGTTTTCACCAAGTGTGTCGCAGTGACCCAAGTAGGCTACAGCTCAATGCTGAAAGCAAAGCACTGATTTTCAGCTTGATAGGCGGATTGGGAACTGCAGTTAGGCTTTGGAGATGTTTTAAAAGGGACGCTGCTGGCTATCCCTCGCCTTCCCTTCGCCTCTTACGACACCCACGGAAGGGGTGGCCTATTCTGCGTCGGGACCACACGGTAAAATATAGTATAGTTTATCTAAAGTGAAGTAAAAATGAAAACTGTTGTCCATTCGGTATTCGAATTAGGACGACGGCACTAACTGTAACTGATTATTGTCATGAACAATATTTTTTTTTATAATACTATATGTTATTTTTAACGTAGCCCAGCGTTAACGTTAACGTTAATTAACGTAGCCCAGCCTTAAAAAATAATGTTACTATCTAGTGAAAACTGATTTATTAATGAGGTCCTAAGAATTTTTCTTTTCTACAAAAAAAATATGTTCCGAATGGGCTTTAATAAACGAATGGCTACTTAAAAATGCTTAATTTTTTTTTTTAATAAATACATAAATAATGTTTTATTCTAGGGAAAGAAATTTATTGAAACTCTCTTAATGAATACTACCACTAGTCTCAAGGAATGGGTTATATTTTTTTTTACAACACAGGATGCAAACGTGCATGCGGCTCACCTGATGATAAGTGACTACCGCCGTCCATGATCACCCACAACACCAGCGGCATTGCAGGTGTGCTGCCGGCCTTTTAAAAAGGAATATGCTCTTTTCTTGAAGGTTCTAGCTAGCCATGTGGTCTCGGTATAGAATCAGCTACCCCTTCCTTTCCCGAGGGTGTCTTAAAAGCCGACAATAATACCGTGTAGTCACTGTTAATGGGCACGTGCAAATTTCCCTTGGTTTTACATAAAGCCATTGCAGCTAATGCCGTACTAAACGCACGCTCATGTTTCTTCATCGTACATTACTATACGTGTATAATTGTTTCATAAATTATTTGTCAGGGATCCAAAGGATTATTAACGTATTTGGTGGCGATAAAGTATGCGGGGGTTAATGAGGAATAGAACTCTGTACTAGTGCGAGTTGCACAAAGATTTATGTTGCAACTGCATTCATTTATGTCTATACAAAGTTTATATGAAGATCAGTGTTTCCATAATAATCCGCTAGAGGCGCTGTTAAGTTTTAAATACAAATTGTTGTCGACGCAAACGTGATGTATTTATATACAGTTTGTTTAAATAGAAATTAATGAAAATATAAACAAACTAATAATAAGACAGTCTATTGATGTCAAATCAACAAATTGCCACATAGTCCCGGCATGGAATAGGTCACTACTGCCTTTCCCGTGGGTATCATTAGAGATGACTAAAAGAGAGCGAGGGATGGGCAGCAGCGTCTCTCTTAAAAGAACTCCCATTCCAAACAGCGGTTGCCAATCCGCCTGTCAAGTCAAGTGAGAACTATGTCTCTCTTCAGTCGTACTCTTGACAGAGTTTTTATACATTTTATACATTTACTGAGTTTTTTTCTGAGTTAATAATAATAATAGTTTATTATGTATAATATATTATGTCTTAATATAAAAAAAAAAAAAACTATGCATAAAAAACTATTTGTGTTCGTCTGAGAATTCATATTCGAACAGATATCAATATAATTGGTAGTAAAATAGTATTACAATATACCTGCCTAATAAGTATTTCAATGTGCACAATGATCTGAAGGTCGTTTAACATCCGTTTAGCTAAGTAGAAAATACAGGACTAGAATACAAACGAACTTAATTGTAGTGGTAAACTTACGACATTTGTTTTGGAAAATGAGTCGCCTTATCTACTTCTTTTTTTTTTAATGGATGACAATGGAATGCTGATAACCCCGTAAGCGACTACCGCTGGCCACAACACCAGAGACATTGCAGGTGTGCTACAAATGTGTACTTTCTTGAAGGTTATGATGTATCGTTTCGGAAATACTGCTACTGGAAGCTGATTCCAAAGAGTGCGCTGGAAATTGTGTGTGGAAGAAAGTGCCTAAAATATTTTAAATATTTTAAATCTAATTGCAAAATGAAGCTGCCATAGATAGATAAAAGATTAAAAAAATATATAAGACACGTTCCTCACTATCAGAGTGCTAAGATGGATTGCATGATTACATATTGCGTACAAACGTACAATTATGACATTGTTTTACGTGTGTTGAAACACAAAGCGAGCGTTATTTCTTGTAACATGACGCTGTTATTAGAGTTACATTCATAAAATTAATTAATGAAAATGCACTTAGCTCGTACCATGCAATTATGATATCCGATTGTGTGCGTACAACATAGAATTAAAACAACCTACCATTTTGATAATGACTACAAAAGTTAACATAAAATGTGCTAGAATCGCAATTTAGCATTAGTTGCTGTACAATATGGGGATAAGAAGCAAATTGGGTGTAATCGCGTTTTGTCTGACGTGTTTATTGTTACACGTTCGTAGGGCAAATTCCTCAGCTGAAGTGGTGAAGAAACTCAGCGTCACCTTTGCCAAAGCAATGGATGCATGTAAAAAGGAGGTGAATTATTTTTTGTTTTTTTTTTGTTTTGTAGGTAATCAGCTGAATTTTTTACAAGTTTTTATTTAACTTACGCTGTTTTATTTGGGTTTATTTGAATCAAATCTTGCAGACTAATTAGAGCTACTTCTAGACAGCTGACTGGTTTTAGCAATACGCCGTCATCGCAAAATGGCGGATTATATATTTTAAAATCCTTTTAATATAGCCATCAATGAAAAAGAAAAGAATAGAAATTGATAAAATTTGTAACATCACACTAAATTCAATATGGCCGCCGCTCCAAAATAATGGATGGAAAATAAAAAAAAGTGTTTATGAAAAGACTAGTTTCGTATGGAACATATAATATCAAAATACTTATAAATAATAATAACTTATTATTATATTTATTATAATATTTATGAACTTTTATTAATATTATACAGTCGAAAGTAGAAATTCTATCGTTTTAATTAACAAAAGCGTGACGAATCCACTACGATCCCCTAACTGTCTGAAATACATTTAAGATGGTCATTCCATCTAATTAGAAGTCTCTAGTTGTAATAACAACGTAAAAACCTAGTGATATAGTACTGAAACAAACCCTTAATATGCTCTCAGTTAAACGTGGGAGACCACATACTGCAAGAGATGCAGAACTTCTGGCGCGAAGAGTACGACCTGGTGCACCGCGACACCGGCTGTATGCTGACCTGCATGGCGGCTAAACACGACCTGATCGTTATTACAGAAGATCGGATGCACCACGAGAACGCCCATGCGTTCGCGAAAGCTCACGGCGCTGGTATGTAACTGGTGACTATAACCAAGCATGCATGGATGACTTTGTCCGAATCTCAAGCTGATTTATTCACGGTAACCCTGCCTATGTTACCAGTAAAGGATTTTTTTATACCACTGAGGTGGCAAACAAGCATACGGCCCACCTGATGGTAAGCGGTTACCGTAGCCTATGAACGCCGGCAATACCAGAGGTATTACGCGCGCGTTGCTGACGCTGAAGAAACCTCTTTATCCCCTTTTGAAGAACCAAAAAGAAGAAGGATATTTTTTTATGGATATAATGGAATGGTAACCATGCCTGCCCTATCGGTATAGGTTGGAGAGATACCAATGAGAGATGATAGGTGAGGATAAAAGAAGTTCAGTTTACCCTAAGAATTAATCACGATGGTTTCTAGGGAAAACCGCGTGATGGTTAATATATGTTATAGGACAGAATAGAAAAAAAATATTGTTAGAAAAGCACAATTACAATAGAAAATACAGAAAATACATATTAAGAAGTATCCCGATAAAACATATGGGAACAAAAAAAAATCATTAAAATCATTAAATTAATTTGGATATTAATTAGAATTTAATTACATTGATGAAATTTAATTATTTAATTATTGAAATCTTTATGAAAATGTAAGGATCGACGCCCCCCTCGCTTCTAATTGCTGTACCCTACAGGGTCTACAATGTACCGTATCAATTATTAACATCTTTTATAATAATATTGTATAATGCAATAAATAAATTGAATTTGAAATCTCATATTAGGCAAGAGGAACAGGCTCAGCTGATGCTGTGAGTGTCCCAGTGCAACGTGTACAGCTGCACAGTGCTGGTTTTCAGCCAGGCCCTCTTTTGACAAAATACAACAAAATAGCAAATGGATACAACTGCAATTGCTTCTTACAAGAATATATTGCTAGTAATGGAGCTGCCAGATCCCATTAACAATCCTTTCCCCATGGGTGTCGTAAGAGGCGACTATGGGAACTTAATAGTCGGAGGATGAGCAGCAATGTTCTTCTTAAAATATGACCAAAGCTTAACTGCGGTTACCAAGCGTGGCTATTACTGGCGAAACCCCTCAATGACAAATATCAGAAAGAAATGGCCTCCAGTCCTGTAGGTCGGGACCATTCCTTGTGGCAGTCTATGAAGGAGGCCCCTGTTGAGCAGTCTGATATGATGATTTGGGTGTTGCTGAAAGAAAACTCTATTAGAGTTAAGCTCGTCTTTGTACATTTGATTACGTCTGTCATATTCTTATAACTGGTGTGTATAATAAAGAATTAAAAATGAAAAAAAGAAAAATGATTAGGTAAATAATCTTTACGTCCATCTACCCTTACGAAGCCGTGACAAATCGCTAGTTTTAAAAATAAAATTCACTTTTCAGATGACGACTTGGCCAAGCAAATAGTAACCATGTTACACGATTGTGAATCCGATAATCCTCAGCAGGAAGACTTCTGTCTCCGGGCGTTGGCGGTCGCTAAATGTTTCAAAACTAAGATACACGCCCTCAAATGGGCACCGTCGATGGAGGAACTTCTATCCGAGGTCATGAGTGACATGTAACTGTTCTGATGAGTAGATACTGTGGTATGACCTTTGTAAGGAGAAGTATAGACTAAAAATATATTTTGACAAAGCTAACGCATTTTGTAATATTTTATTGTTAATTCTAATATTTTTATAGTTGAAAGGGTAAACGAGTTGACGGTCCACCTGAAGGAAAGTGGCCAATGTTGTTGGTCCTCCAAAAATTTCATGTCATAATGTAAAGCGACAGTGCTACGATTTCAATAAATAAGAACATGCGTTGTAACAGGCTGCGCTTAATTATAGCAAATAATATTTGTGATATTTATTAGATAGTATTTAATATACAAATAATATATAAATAAATAAATATATAAACACCTTGACAAGTATGGTAAATATTAGAAAATTACTATTGTTTATATAAAGCTTAATAGTTCAGATAACGATGTCTGAATAGAACGTAGTACATTTTGGGAGCAATGCCTCATCCACAAAGGAAATATCAATGTCCCTTCTAACTCAATATACTTTGTCAGTAGCTACGAATCTTTGAAATTTTTCTACGGATTTGCTCTACCTAAAGATGTACTACAGATGTTTGTAAAAGGAATTGTTACTATGACGTGTAACTTGACGATTTCTGCGCGTTCCAAGGTTCAATGATGGATTACCAAAGGTTTAATTTACGGGTGATGGTATAGTTTTAATAGTTAACGCAACGTTACACAATTATATAGTAAATAATACATCTCTCTCTAAATATATGTCAAAGTGCCTGCAATAATGTATTTAATAGTAAAATAAGGAATAGGACAAAGGTTATTAGGGTATTCGGTGATGGTATATAAATTATATTGTCAAATTAAATTCTTGTTTTATTTCAATCTTAATTGTTTAGAAAGTTAATTAAATTATTATTTATTATATATAAATTACAAGTTTAAAGGAAGCATAATAGAATTTTACCTTTAATAATAGTATAAGGTAATTCACATATTATTCCTTTTATGATGTTTTTTTAATAGGTAAAAATGGAATGGTAACCTCGCCCGCGCTATCGGTATACACCGACGAGTCACCAGTGGAAGGTGATAGGTGAGAATGAATGCAGGTAAGTTGGATCACCATGACGAATTCGACAAGAATTGAACATGTTGGTTTCCAGGGGGAACCGCGTAGAGGTCGACCTGAGACCTGGGTATATTGTATACTGGCTAGTAATGGGGCTATTAGACCCCCATTACTAACAATTCCTTTCCCTCTTATCCCTTTATGATGTATACAGGCATTGTCCCGTGTGGTCCCGGTATAGAATAAGCCACTCCTTCTTTTCCCGTGAGTGTCGTAAGAGGCGACTAAGGAAAGACGAGAGATTGGCAGCAGCATCCTTCTCAAAACATCACCAAAAAACTAACTGCGATTGTCAATTCACCTATCAAGCAACTTCTGCAAAACTCCCTCTTATGGGAGAGGCCTATCTTCAGCAGTGGACAGTAAACAGGTGACGTGATGATACACAGGAAATAGATACTGGAATAGGTAATAAGAATGGAATGAAACATGAAAATAGACGTCTGCTACTCCGTACTCTTACGACACTCGGCTCAACAGATTTTCGCCAAAAATATCAATAACGAGGGGGCTTCGTTACAAGTCCCGTCACGTTCGCAACGGATGAAACAATAAAACTAAATAAACGCACGCAGGTGCGCAATCGTACGAGAAAGATTTAGCTGCACCGCGCCTGTGCGTTTACATATTGTTTGTTTTTCAATTTGCTTTGGGATATGTTTAAAATGACGAGAGCAAGTGTCTCAGAATCATTATAATAATCATAATAATAATATACTTTATTATCTAGACTACAATGTGGTCCATTTTATTAGTAACAATTTTCTTACAAACTATGTTAGTAAAAAAACAAATTGATTTAATTAAGCAGTTCACCCAGATATGTCCCAGCCGACTAGATCAGCATCTAAATGAAATGCCCAATTAAAGGCGAGTTATATTTCTCGTCTATTACTTTTAGAATGCTGTTGGTGCTTGTCCTAACCCTGTTTAGCAATGATGCAGTCCTCTTTCTCCTTACACCGTAGTAATCATCTACGCGAGATTGAGCAAACATGCTAGAAGCGCTACAAAAGCGAGGTAGCCCCAACAGCACTCTGAAACTATTATTGTACTGGATTCGTAGGGCACTGAGTGAGGCCTGTGTGCAGTTGACCCACAGACTGCTCGTGTAGAATGTTTGGCAGTATGCTTTGAAGAGTGTGATTTTTACTTCTTCACTACAACGGGCAAACCTGGGAGCCAACATGTTACATCTAACAGCCAATGCCCTACGCCCCCTTTCGACATCAGTTTGATCTTTATGCTTGTCTGATTGCTGTAATGTAATGTAATATAATGTAATGTAAATTGGACTCTCTTTGCTGCGTTTAGTCTCTCACTTGGGTCGTTATGCATATGAGTCATAGCTAGTACAGCCATCCCAGCTCCACAGATTTGAAGGCTGTCTGATTGTTAGATGTTTCCGATATGTATGTAAAGTAGGTTTAATGTACAATTATATTGCTAGCAATTAGGTTCCTAGTCCTCGTTACCAAACATCCATCACTTTGGGAGATTCTTTGAATTTTTCACCCCTTCCCCTTGTTTATCCAATCGATGTTTACTATGGAATTTTATTTAATTTTTATCTGATCAAACAGTAAGTTCCTAATTCACTTGTATTTTCTTGTTTACTTCAGAACTCCTTCATTTACGAGTATAAACCGATTTGGAAAATTCTCTTTTTATTTTAAAGGATGTACTTTCAGATTAGTCAGAAAGAAATTGTATCAAAATCTGTCATTTTTTATGCAATTTAGAATGGCAAACAAGCTGATGGCCCACCTGATGGGAAGTGGTAACCATCGCCTATAGACACGAGTACCATGGACATAACAGAGTATACTGTTTCGCCCATGATATCCTCTCATGCGTTGCCATTCCTGAACACTCAGGTGTTATTCCTCTGTCCCCTGTAAATTCACTGCCATATCCCACCCTTCAAACCGAAACACAGCCATGCAAACACAACTGCTTCACGGTTGAAACACGAATGGGACAGAGGTGCCTAACGACTTTTGTACAAAATCTCCCTCTAGTCTAGCAGTTTGGTTTTAAATTAAAACAATTCGTTTTACCACGATTGTAGCCGGTGTCTTTTTTGTGGAGCAAAAACTTTTATTGGATTTTATTGTGTACATTTCCATTAACAGCTACGATATCTTAAAATACTCTTGCAGCACACGTGAAGAAATAGGCGATGCAAAATGCTAATAAATATCGCAACAATGCGTTACGTGCGGCCTGCTATTAATTCACAGTGGAGGCACAGTATTATATTATGTGGTAGAAGCCAGCCGCTATCAGTAAGTACATCAGATTTCGATTAAGCCCGGCCTATTGCTGCCTGAACGGCTCTAAGTCTCCGATTGTGCTGTCTTATAGTCAGATAATTTGAGAGTTATGATACAATTAACAGTTTCGGCGTTGTTGTATTAAAGTGAAAGATTTATTGTTGACAGACGTTTATTAGTATAGTAAATATATAATAGTTGTATTCGTATGTACTATATGTATATAAATATATGTATATATATATGTATATATATATATATATATATATATATATATATATATATATATATATATATGTTTATTTATGTATGTGTATATGATTATGCAGTCACAGATATTTATTATTTTATATTATTTTTTACAGATCTATTGTTTTAAAACGCCACCTACCTATTTATTCTTTAATTCTTTCCACCCAAAGGTTGTCTGAAAGAGATTGCTTAGCAATAAGCCCGCCTTTTGTACTACACTATACCTATTGAAAATTGTTCAACAAATCCTGTAATGTTGGGGCAATAAAGTGTTAAATAAACACTACCGCTTCCATTCTGAACGAACTGAAAATAAGAGAAATTATCTTCGATTGTTCAAATACGAATTCTCAAGTACTTTAGCCATATTATCCGGAATGAAAACTGTATGGAACGTCTAATTGTCCAAGAGCGGTACAAGGCAAACGTTCTCTGGGTAGATCACCAACGCGATGGACTGACCTCATCAAAATGGCCACACAACAATCTACTGTGGAATGTTCTCGCTCGGCTGTGAGCAGTAGATGGAGACGCATTGCGAGGACCTCAATCGCGATGAAGGGCCTCATCGACGATCCACTATCATAATAAAAACCATGACCACTCTGTCAAGAGTATATATGTCAGCCGAGCACTTAATACACCACTAAATCGCATTTCTGAATTACACGATACAGACTTGCATACCTAGTGTGTGATTCGTAGAGTTAGTCATCGATGTAAAAATGTTTTTGGCAAATAAATATACATTTTATTTCATTTCATTCGGATTCGTAAAAAAATGTGAGTTTCAACCTCACAAATTTTTGGAAATTCACAAATTGGATGTTTGTTACTCTTTCAGGTTTAAACAGTTGATTTTTACTGTTTTTTTTTTAATGGATAACAATGGAATGGTTACCCCGCCTGCGCTAACGGTATACGCTAGCAGGGCACCAGTGAGGGATGATAGGTGAGAATGAAAAGGCAAGTCAGTTAGTGCATTATGGTTTCCAGGCGGAACCACGTGGAGGTCGCCCTGTCAGGGTATATTGCTAGCAATGGGACTAGTAGTCCGCATTACTAACAATCCCTTCCCCCCAACAGAATAGATATGAATGAATGTATTATATTTACGTGTGTTAAGCCAAAGGAAACGGCTCTAGTATTGTAAGAATGGCGCCCACTGTTATAGGTACAAACTAGTCGAAAAAAAATTAAACAATTTATAAAATGGATTTAATATTGCGCTCTTTTACACAACAGTAAGAATCTCGGAGACTATGACATCAACTTTCGGTGACCAGTCCAGGTCTCGGATGTTTGTTCGGAAGCATTTGGCCACCTCCAGGGTACGAACGCATGAGTCTTCAATAGTTAAGGACTGCTTCTCGCATTCATGAAGCATTTCCACCAGTTTGTCGGCGACGGATTCAGCTAAAATGAAAATAAATAAATAAACAAACTATTAACACCAGAATCGGAGCAGCGATCTATTAATTTGCCTGAAGATGCCTTCAGAAAAACTCTGTAATCTTACAGTGGTAAGAGCCTTTTCTGGTATGAATCCAGGTAGAGTTTACATTCTTGTGAATAAGAACTTCATAGGTATATTGACATATTACCAGAGGGAGACTGTACAAAAGTCGATTGCTTGGATACCTCTGTCCTATTCGTGTTTCAACCGCGAAGCAGTTGTGTTTGCATGCTGTGTTTAGATTTGAAGGGTGAGATATGGCGTGAATTTACTGGGTACAGAAGAATAACACCTGAGTCCTCAGGAATGGCAAAGCATGGGGGGTATCATGGGCGAAACAGTATACTCTGTTATGTCCATGGTACTGCTCATGTCTATAGGCGACGGTTACCACTTTCCATCAGGTGGGCCGTCAGCTTGTTTGCCATTCTAAGTTGTATAAAAAAGAAAATGTTAATGACTCACGTCCAATTCGCGTCCCATTAAAACAGGGCTTGCAAAGAGATCGAAATGACAGTATGTATCTTGTTTACTGGCAGGTATGTCGTGTTAGTGGAGTTATATCGTAAAATTATTTGTACAATTCGGATAAATTTGTGACAACCCTTCCAAACAATGCATTACGCATTAGCAAAGTCTTTTTTATGGATGATAATGGAATAGTTATCCCGTGTGTGATAACGGTATACGCTGGCGGGACACCAGTGAGAGATGATAGATGTGAATGAAAAGGCAGATCAGTTAGCTCATCGTGATGAATAAACCTGGAATTTAACAAGGTAGTTTCCAGGGGGACCTGACAGGGTATGTTACTATCAATGGGACTGGTAGTTCGCATTACTAACGCCTGCATTGAGGGGGGAAAGGGATTGTTAGTAATGGGGTCAAATAGTTCCATTACTAGCAATATACTCTGTCAGGTCGACCTCCACGCGGTCCCCCCTGGAAACCATCGTGACTAATTTATCGTTGAAATTCGTCACGATGGGCTAAATGACCTGCCTTTTCATCTTCACTAATCATTCCTCACTGGTGCCCCGCCAGTGTATACCGATAGCGCACTTGGGGTTACCATGCCATTTTCACACATAAAAAAAACCCCTGCATTGATAGGGTTGTCACAAATTTTTATATTAATGTCACAATAAAATTAAATATTAATGTATTACATATTAGTTACAGATCATTAGTTAAAAGAGTACATTTTGGCAGCTTCGCCACATCCATTTCTAGCCGATATATTTTTCCCATTCGTCGTACGTACCGGCTCCGTGCTGCACGGCGAAATCTTTGGCGCTTCCGTGATGTAACCGCCCACTCGTGTCCACCAAGTTTAATTTTTTGCTCATACACAGAATAACACAGCCTACGTCTTTGTCCAGCATGTCGTATTCTTGTTTCCAGTAGTGGTACAAGTCGGTAATAATGTGGTCGGAGAGGTTCAGCTGAAAATATACCGGCTTGCTATAAATATACTCGCCGTGTGGTCCCTGCATAGAACAGACCACCCGTTGCTTTCCCGCAAGTTTCGTAAGAGGCGACTAAGGTAGGGCGAGGGATGGGCAGCAGCGTCCCTTTTAAAACATCTCTAAACCCTAATTGCGCCTGCGCTTGGCAGGCGGATTGACAAACGGTCAATCCGCCTGCCAAGCGTGGCAACTACTGGCAAAACCCCCCAAGGGGGAGGCTTATGTTCAGCAGTGGACAGTTAAAGCATGATACGATGATGATATATAATAAAAACAAGAAAAAAAAGCCGTATAAAAGTTGTTTTATAATTTTGTGTATGAAGTTGTATGTTAAAAGTATATTGAAAGGCTTAGAACCGCTAAAGGCCTGTTTTCGCAAATTTGATATTTCAGGAATAGCCAATATTACCTCATGTTTGCAATCGTCCAACGTTTTAAGGAATCCAGTAGTAATGTATCTCAATACTTCTCTAGAAGGCTCTACATCCCTCACGCTAATTGCTGCCAACAGTAAGCCGACAAAAACTGCTCCTGCCATAACTATGGCGTTCTTGCAAAAAGTATCAGAACATCTCACGGGCCGACTTAAATACGGATTACTCATAACATCGTAATGGTATTTAATTGTTAATTAATGTGTTGTGATGGCATAAGAATAATTTAACTGGATGGAAAAGACACTTGTGTTTTTTTTTACAACTCAGAATGGCAAACAAGCTGACGGCCCACTTGATGGAAAGTGGTAACCGTCGCCTATAGACATGAGCAGTACCATGGACATAACAGAGTATACTGTTTCGCCCATGATACCCCCCATGCGTTGCTATTCCTGAGGACTCAGGTGTTATTCCTCCATACCCAGTAAATTCACGCCATATCTCACCCTTCAAACCGAAACACTGACATGCAAACAAACTGCGTTACGGTTGAAACACGAATGGGACAGAGGTACCTAAGCAATCGACTTTTGTACAAAGTCTCCCTCTGGTAAAAAAGGTAGGAAAAGTGTGTTACACACTTATTCATAGGATTATTAGTAAAGTAGTTGTGAGTTTTAAATTACTTGTTGGCAGGTATATTCCCTATCAGGTAGACCTCCACGCGTTTCCCTCTGGTATTACCGTGGTTAATTCTTGTATTTTTTTATACCACTGAGGTGGCAAACAAGCATACGGCCCACCTGATGGTAAGTGGTTACCGTAGCCTATGAACACCTGCAATACCAGAGGTATTACACGTGCGTTGCCGACCCTGAAGAAACCTCTTTACCCCCTTTTGAAGAACCCCATGCTGTAGGCCCTTGGGAAAACCTCGGCAGGGAGCTCATTCCACAACCTGAGTGTTCGTGGGAAGAAACATCTCTAAATCTGCGCAGTACGCGACCATTGAGACTGTAGAACATGAGGAGAAACTTCCTGTCGATGGCGAGTCGTACGATGGTAGAAAGTGGCTGTGGGCATCATATTGAACAATTCCTCTGAGCACAATCCGTTGTACAAACGGTAGAACAAGCAGAGCGAGGCAAAATCTCTCCTAAGACTTAAGGGTTCGATACCTGGGATCATCGACAATTCTCATAGCTCGTCGTTGCAACGAGTCGAAAGGTTCAATCTGGCATTTAGGTTCATCGTCACGATGGGCCAACTACTTACTATAATTTTCATCCTCACCTATTCTCTAATATCTCGCGCAGGTGCCACGCCAGCGTATACTGATGGCGCAAGTAGAGATATATTGCATTTTCACCCAAAAAAACATTGTTTTTGCCTACCCTAATGGGAAGTAGGCATGATAGATATGTATGTATGTAGGTAAAAATACCAGAAAACATCACACACAGGTGCGAATAAGAGAGAGAGAGAGACGAACGCTCTCTAAATTCTAATGAGTTGTTTATTGAATTTACAGAAATGTCAGTTCCACCGGATATTTGTTTGTATATCAGTGGCGTTATTAGATTAGCGACCATCTCGTTTTAATTGTCGGTTATCCGATCAATGTACAGAATTGCAAATATTGCCCATTACATGTCTCGTGTTATTACGGTGTTTATTTATCTTTCTCATGTATTATTCTATCGAACATACATAAAAATATAGATGGCTTAGTTCAAGGATTATTAAAAAAAAAATTATAATTTTTTTTCTTTACGTTTAAAGTTATGAAATACTTCTTTTTTAATAAATTTTCGAAATTTGAATTATCGATTTAAGATTATTTAAGATGTTTAGAATTTACTTACATATCTTCTATTTAAATATACAATTTGATAACATTTTGAATCACCGTGTTTAAAGATAAAGAAATAACAATAGTAAAAATATAAGAATAACAATGAAACAAAAAGAAATTATTTTAAATTTAATATTTTTTGTGTCCTTCACTATACTCAGTATGAATCAGAAGAATCAGAAAGGATTAAGAGCAGAGTTTCCAGCTAATAAGAAAGAAAGAAAGCAAAGAAATGTATAAGAGTTATTAACTTCTTATGAGCTTCTATTAAGGGCCCAGACACTCACTGGAAAATAATTCCAAATACGCCAACGCATCTTTTGATAGAACGCCATCTATCGGCTCAGTTAATTAGTAAATAAAAACACCATAATACCATATCCCTTTTATTGCATAACACAAAATATACGATATTATAAACAAATGAAAGTTACCAACAACCAAAAATAAGAACTTCAAATAAAAATTTGAGAAATATGTTCGCAGATAAAACAAAACATAGTCACTTTTTAATCATTAATTGAGGTATTTGTCATGTTCACAATATTTAGAAATCCCTTTGAATTCCTTGACAGAAACGAAGTCGTTGGAAACTTTTTTGATATACTGTTTAGGTTTTGTGTTGTTTTTTTATTACTTTGTGCTCGATAGTTTCAGTTCGAATTGTGCTCAATAAACCTTGTTTTTTTTTTCAATTATAGCACAACATGTGACCACTCCATTCGGAGCAAACAAAGACATGGCATGGTCCATGAATAAGTGCTTTTTCAAGCTGTGTTTGCAGGATCCGAAGTTATAGGATGAAGGAAAAACATCACGGAAAAGGTCATTCCACACTGTCACGGTACGGTTCATGCAAGAATTAATAAACTTATTTGTACATGAGCGCCGGCTGTCTACCCTGTATAGATGCAGGCCCATCCTCATGGTACGTTATCAGAAAGGGAATGAAATTCTTTCGAACGCTTTCCATTAGGCGGTAGAATAGGACATTTGTTTGACTATTAGTTTTTTGTCACAATTTGTTACAGCCCTGTGCTACGTATATAATTACGAACAGTACAATAATTATTAAGAAAACTTTCAATATTAGATTATTTATAACTAAAAATTTCTTATTTCAAGTTGCAAAACCATTGCCATCGTGTTTTACAAAGCCAACGTCATTTGTTCTGTTAATATTCTAATAGTATCTCTCCAACTAGGAGAATCATGTCAGGTGCCCATTTTAATTTGTGTATCTCAGTCTTGAAACAGTTGGTGATGTTCAATATTCTCATGCATTCATCGTCATTAGACGGGAATGACTTTTCGCATGCATGAATAAGATCGACGACTTGATTCGCCATGTTTTCATCTGCAGTTTAATAGAAATTTAATTAGTATATTGGTGGTTTAAAGAATAACCAATTGAAGATAGATCAATATTAGATACATATTATGTATTCTTTTCAAAACATTATAGTAGTGAGCTTCAAAAAAAAAAAAACAAGAAATTATAAAAAACAGATGAAAATAATGGGAAATCTTATTAACAAGGAGTTGTCTCTTCTCAGCAACCTTTGAATGGAAAGTTAGAAGAAGAGAATGACGATGAAATGTTAGAAGAACAAGGTGAAATCGAGTAATTTTAAACAAAGGAGACTGTTAATCGCTATTTTAGCAGAGACCTTCGTCAGCTAGTTTTTCATTCTATACCGCATAAAAATAATCATGTGCATATCAGAAGGAGACTTAAAAAGACCTTAAAAAGACACTTTTCTACTTTAAGTCTCACTCTGGTAGTTAAATACGAGTAGTTTTAAAATGAGCTAACTCACCAGCACCGTATTCCATGGCGAATTTCTGAGCATTGCCATGTCGAAGCTTTCCTTCAGGATCTATGAGGTCCAGTTTTGCGGAGAGGCATTTTATTGCGCAGCCGGTTTGTCTATGTGTAATTTCATATTCCTCCTTCCAGAAATTATAAAAGTCTGCATGAACTGTATTCGGAAGATCCAACTGTTTAAAATAATATCATATCAATGACAGTTGTAAAATTTAAAGCAGTGTTCAAGGCTTCGGCTTGAACTAGTTTATTAGCTGGTTTCAATTGCTTATTAATTTATTATTTTCCGATAATATTTTTAACGAGAAATTTACATTGACAACTTAACCTTTGTTTTACTCCCTCGGGTGAAGAATTTTTATAAATTCTTTCTTAATACTCATCTATCTTTTTTAAAGAGATCTAGTGCAAAATCTCATGCTTTCTACAATATAAACAGTGCCGAATATTCCTGTATAATATATTTCTATATTATACTATCTCCTCATCGACGACCTCCGTAACGTTGCACGTTGCTTTGTACTAAGTTACAGAGTTGGATTCCTTGTCAAATAAATTAAGGTTATAATATTTTATTGGTCTTGGTATTGTGAATGGTGTCTTTATAAGATATATATGTTCGTTGCTTGGTTTTTCATAACATAAAGTACCCTAGCCTAACCACTAAACACTTATTTACTTATGTTTACATACCTCTTTTTTACAAATATCAAAAGCTTTAACGAAATTCACCATAAGTTCCTTCATAATATCCTGTGACGCGTCAGTACTTGGTTCTATGGCTAAATAAATGAACACTACTATAACGATTCTCTTTGACATGTTGGCTTTATGCTCAGAAATCACAAGATTGTTTATCTTTTTCTGTGTTTTATATAGTTACGTTTTAATTGTTTATTTTTAATTACATGTTTACACTTAAAGTTTAAATGAGCATGTATAGTTTAGAATCTAATTTGTCAAAGGTATCCATCAATTTGTCATCATTAGTCACTAATTGTTATGAATTAAAAATTATCTGATCTTCATGTGTGTCTAGGGCAAGCACACTATTATAATCGTTAAGAGGCACTTTAAACAGTGCGTTTTGTAATATAAATACAAAAAAAAAATAACAAATTTGAAAAATAAAGTAAGTAAATAAAATCAAAATTCTTTAAAGTGTTTCTATGTAATTTCTCCTCCTATACAGTTGACCATATTTTTATTTTTTACCTTATTTTTCTTAACTATACACAAAGTACTATATAGCACCTGATGGTCGGAAAATATTAAATTATTGGCCGACAAGAGTTGAATGACACCAACATAAGATCGTACATCGTGGAGCAGTAAAGAGAAAACCTATGTATAAGCAGTAGTTGGTAAATGAAAATAAATAAAAAGATTAAGCAACAGGTATTTAAAAGAAAAAAGGAACACCTTTAAACAAAAAACATTTATATTTAATTAACACATTTTTCTACTATATAAATCTGCCACAATAAAAATTATTACATGATCAATTAAAAAAAAAATTGATGGCCATTTTGTAGTTTTAATATTTCTCGACGACGGCTTCGATCATAGCTACTTCAGGTGCGATGCCCTCTTTTTTTGCGTCTTGTTTGAAGCACGCAGCGGACTTCATTACACGAGTGCAATCGTCCTCGATATCGTCATACTTCTTCTCACAGTTGTGGATGAGTTCCACCATCTTAGCGGCCAGGACTTCGCCTGCAAATCAGATATGGGGTATGATAATGATCAATACTACTTTTAAAAACTAAAAAATGCGGGGCTTCTATTTTTACATTTACCAGAGATTTATCAATAAAAGTAATACTAAACTGTAAAATTTAGTCAATGATTTATGAATGAAATGTAAAAGTAAATCATACTAAACATTCAGGTATTCGTATAAATGTTTTGAGGATCTTGATCATTTCTCTCATACCACATACATGCTATATCATACACATTACTTTAATAAGGCAATGCCACATGATTTGGCCATGAAGCTCCATTTTTCAGGCAAAGATTTTTTCATTTTTACACGTTTATCATGGTTTAATAAAATTTTAAATGACGTGAAATTACATTACATAGATGTTATTTGACTAAATCGATAATTTCTATTTTATAAAAGCAAAGATTAAAAGAAAATTTATTATGTTAACAGGATCGTTAAATCCAAGGTCCAGTAATATACAGATAGACTAATACATAATAATATAAACATAAAAGGAGTAAATAGTATGATGATTGCAAATATAGATGATTGGAAGAGAAAAAACATATTTTGTTCACCTCGAAGAAGGAAAAATTGCAAGAACACGATGACACTGTATTTTCGATAACAAAAGTTATTATCGTACAATTTAAGAAATCAGTAATTGTCAGATTTCAATATCGAAACAAAGTCCTTACCATTTGGAAAACTCTTCACGTAATCATGCATATTGACGTGATGGATTCTACTGTCGTCCTTCATCAACGAGAATTTATTGGACATGCAAATTATGGCACAACCCAACTCCCGGTGGACTATGTCGAAGTCATCACTCCAGAAGTGTTTGAATTCCTCCATGATTTCCGCAGTTAGACCTGACTGTATCGTAACAAATTCCAGTTTAACATTAGTTAAAGAATAAAATATTAGCATTGCTTCTTTGCCGTGTAGTCCCGGCATAGAATACGCCCTTCCTTTCCCGTGTTATCTTGTGAGGATCCCGGTGTCGTAAGAAGCTTAAGCTAAGGAAACTTAATGGTTAAAGGTTGGGCAACAGCGTCCCTCTTAAAACATCTCCAATACCTAACTCTGGTTGCCAATCCGCCTGCGAAGCGTGGCAGCTACTGGCAAACCCCGCCAATAGAGGGAGCCCTATGTTTAACAGTGAACAATTACCGGCTGATATGGTATGAAGTGGTATCGCTTCTTTTACTGATCGAAGAAGTTTAAAAAATAAACTTATAATTAAAGACTCATGATATACTCCGCAAAAAAATAGTATTTGTGCACACCTACAATTTACTTTATGGGAATGACAGCGCATGAAGGATACCATGGGTGTTACTCTCTATTCTGCGACGTCCATAATGTTATATATAGACATAAATCTATGCTATAAATGACGATTGACTCTTTTTATCAGATGGGCCATCAATTTGTTTGCCATTTTAAGTTGCAAAAAAAAAAATATACAAGATGTCTATGAGTCTTTGTCTGTAGATTACTATCACAATTCCTTCAACTATAGTATAGTTACATTAGAGAGCAATTATAAAACAAAAAACTACAATTATAAATAAGAATATGTACGATTTACCTCCTCTCTGCACTCTTCAAGTGTTTTCCCAAAATGTGCTGAGACATGACTCATAACTTCAGCGGTCCCTCTCACCGGATTACTGATCGAAGCCAAAACTATAGCGGTAAACAAGAAACAGTAGCTGGCCACCATTTTCACAGTTATTACTTCGATTTCTTCACAAGTTATGACAGTTTCTTCGAAATCTCCTCAATATATTGTGGTCAATTTTTTTTATTTGTTATATAGTATGTTATTATCCGCCCCATTGTAAATAGTATTTAGATAGACTCTTATAATCTACAATTTAAGGTTAAAAATCATTTGTAATACGTTACACATGCCGTAATGAGTACTAAAATGGCTGTTTCTGCCTATGCACCAGGTAATGGTAGGTTTTCTATAATGGAACTGCTGCTGCAAGTCACGGTGAACGAGGCCGGCCATTAAGGTTGATTGTTGCTATCAATAATTATTGACAGAAACCGCCAGGAGCTTGCTACATTACAAATGGTATGTGAAAATCTTGGTCTACAATTCGTATACCATATCGAAGGGAGTTGGTTAAAAATTTGAAGGAAAACTATCACAGTATCTAGTCCATGATCAAACAAAGTTCAACTATAGAGACGTTTGTAAAATCATATCGTTTTTTATTTTGTACCAGCTATTTCCACGCCTTTCGCGTATTACAATGATATATAACCTACCCGCGAACCAGATTTCGTTCAAATCCGTTCAGCCGTTTAAGCGTAATAGAGTAACAAACATATTCTTTTTTATACAACTTAGAATGGCAAACATATTTATTTATTACCTGTCTCATTCGTGATTCAACCGTAAAGCAGTTATGTTTGCATGGCTGTATTCCGGTTTAAAGAGTGGGATATGGCGTGAATTTACTGGGTACGGAGGAATAACACCTGAGTCCTCAGGAATAGCAACGCATGGAGGGTATTATGGGCGAAACAGTATACTCTGTTATGTCCACGGTACTGCTCATGTCTATAGGCGACGGTTACCACTTTCTATCAGGTGGGCCGTCAGCATGTTTGCCATTCCAAGTTGTATAAAAAAACTGACCACAATTATATATATAAAATGAAATTGTAAGTCTCAATATCATAGTTGTAGACAAGTTGACTTTAGTATTCATTCCACATATCCCATCTCACAGACCATTGGTTCTGGAATCACTTTGCGAGCCGCTGCTTGCACCCCAACATACTTCGTGATGTATCGTGCAGTGGCAAATTCCAGCAGCAGAAAAATTGCTTAATTCTTACCTGAATGGTTCCGTAAAATGATGTTTGTCGTGCAAACATCTTTCCTTTGTACATCCTTTAACTTAAAAGCCAATATTTTTGAACTATTTTACCCGACAGATGTCGTTTTGTCAAAAGTTTGTATGGGTAAAGAAAAATTGTTTTTTATACGTTTTTTTTAGCAATTTTTGCAATTATATCCTCAACCATCCTTGGATTTCAGTAATTACATATAATTTTTTTTTGCAGAATTGGTCCAACTGTTCTCGAGTTTTGCACAGAGCAACACATTTATCGATTCATATTCATTTATGTATATTCAACAACAAACTACAAACGTAACTACGGTTGCCACACCGCCTGCCATGCGTGGCAACTATTGGCAAAACTCCCCTTAGAGGAAAAGCTTATGTTTAGCAGTGGACAGTTAAAAGCTGAAATAATAATAACTCTATATTTTAGTCCAAGACATGATCTACTTATGTACAAAATTTCATTATAATCCGACGAGCTATTTAATCAATTATGTGCCAAACATCCAACTACATATAACATACTATATTCGCAGTGTATTGTAATAGTACTATATTAGTTTGATCACTCACCGTCACATGTCTGATCATTGCCCTTCGAACTTTAAACACTTAATTTGGACGACTCAGTACACCGGTCACGGCAATCTTGAGTTTCGATAATACAATATCACACATTACATTACCAATGACTGTCATATTTGACATATCATTTGTAAATTACTAATCTGTAGTAAAACAACTCGGAAATAGGAAATTATTATATTTTTTTTCGTGGCTGTTTACACCATCAATCATACCAGCCTAAGGGCTTAGTAGACGAAACAAGTTAGTCTAGGCAGAAACGTGGAAAACAAGTTGTAGATATCGTGGGGAGCGAAGAAAAATGATGCGAGTTCGTGAGTTAAGACTTATGGGGTTGATACGAAATAATTATAGTGTTCCCTTGTTTTACTGGTAAGCTTTGTTGGTATATTGATAAAATGTTGTATTAATTACTTTGGTGTCAAAGCTATAGGTGTATTTTATTCATATGAACGTGTTTATAAAGGAAAAGGTGGTGCTTTGGTAAAATTTTCTGATGCCTGTTACAAAATAAGAGGCGTAGCTTTTAGTTATAAGTAAAGATCGGTCGGAGACTGCATATGCGCCTATTTTAAGGGACCAGACCCCCCTTTTTTTTCTTTAACGTGTGGAAAATCTTCGGAAAGACCGTCCCACCTGCCGGAGGGAGGGCAGCTGGGGTGTGTGGGATTCGTACCCACTAAAAACCACACGACGTACCTCGAGGCGCTTATGTTGGATCCCGGGTTCCCGTTTGTACGACTACCGAGTATCCAACGCGGACCAGACCCCCCTAGAAAACAATTTTTAATACGCTAATGTTAAATGAAAAAAACTAGACATTTTTCTATCTTTTAGATAGGATTCTTTTATCGAATTTTTCGTGGGGAGTGCTCTGAGGAATTGTTCGGATTGATACCTGCTGCTGATAAACACCACCGTACAACCCATAAACTAAAGTTCCATTCCAATCATCTGGATAAGTGGCGGTCCTCCACCGTGCGTTTTTCAAGGCACTTTTCTAGATTTCAAGATCCTAACAGCCTTATTGTAGTTGACTTTCGTATAAGTATACATGTCTCTAGTAGTCTTGATGTAACATTCTAAAAATCAACAAAACACTTCTTAAGACGATACTTCGGAGCACACAAATATTTATCGTCCATATGTTTGTATGCAAACACCTGAGCACCCCAACGCTAAACAATAAAACCGAATCGACAAACACACGGTGGGATTTTATTTGAAAATATAAAAATTTACATATAAAACAGGTCGCGATTTTCTTGGAAATATTTATTTCTCCCTTGGCAACAGTACGTGATAGGAATGGGGAATGGGAGATGCTAGCACACAGTGATAAACATAACACGACAATAAGATACGGTAGAGGCCGCTTCTCGTAAGATATGACGTCCCAGATGTTATCGGATTAATACGATACTGCGATACATCCCAAATACGGATACTGTTATAATAATACAAATTTTAAGTTACATTGTTGCTGTTGAACTAGACTCTAGGTATTCTAGGGACTTTAGAGTCTAAAGTATTTTTTTTATGGGTGAAAATGGAATGGCAACCCCGTCTGCGCTAACGGGATACGCTGGCGGAGCACCAGTGAAGATTGATTGATGAGAATGAAAACAGGCCAGTTAGTCCATCATGATGAATTCATCAGGAACTAACGATGATAGTTTCCAGGGGGAACCACGAGCAGGTCGTCCTGGTTGAGTATATTGCTTGCAATGGGAATCTTAGTCTTTTGCAATTTATTTTATAACGATTAAAATTGATTCTCTTACCGGCATTGCTTGTTCTAAATTTAAATTTTTCAAATGTTTGAACGGTGGAATATAGCGTGAATTTACAGGGTACGAGGAATAACATCTGAATCCTCAGGTATGGCATGGGGGGTATCATGGGCGAAACAGTATACTCTGTTGTGTCCATAGTACTGCTCATGTTTAAAGGCGACGGTTATCACTTTCCATCAAGTGGGCCGTCAGCTTGTTTGCCATTCTAAGTTGTATAAAAAAAAGAAAAAAGAAAAACTTTAGTATTCTGTTATGGAATTACTTGCATTCATATATTAAAAATATATTTAGACTAAGAAAGAAAGAAAAATATTTATTTAGCATATAACAATAACAATTACAACAAAAACAAAAACAATTGAAAACTTAAAGAAAATGGAAATACAAAATAAAACTTATACCTAATTAGAAATTATGCGACCAAAATGGTCACCATTCAGCTAAGTGTTTAGGCATTCATACGTAACGCCTAAACGCTGATTTTCTGTAGTATCAATGGAAGTGGTAGATGGCGCTACCGAGTACATATTACTATATGAATATAGTTATATATAAATAGTTATTAGTATAACAATAACCAAGACTTATCATTGACTATTACTACAAGTGACGTATAGATGTACTATTTACTTATGTACATATAGTACTATAAGGCTGAAAACTTCATGAAACATTCATAGTTTCATGAATCATGTTGTAATGAAACCTTCAAAGTTGCAGTTGCTATTCATCAAGCTGTCAACTGAACCAAAGAAACCAGCGAGTGTTTACGTCCTAAAAGCATCTAACGCCATACTGGAATTAACAAACTGGACGCAAAATGTAAGTTTGTTGAAACATCATTAGAAGCACCGACTTCTGAAGAAATTGCAAAGAAAAATAAACCTTTCGCTGAAAGAAATAAGAATGGAAACGGTGCGATTATAATTGAGGGGGAATGCTCTGAAAATAAGAAGTTACTTGAACAGCATAAGATTTGTTAACTTTAGACCAAATGTACATTTTAATATTGTCCTTCTCTTAAAGAAACAAGGTCTAAAATAGTATGCACCGCATGTTTTGTGTCTACAAAAGGTAAATTGGTTTTCAAACGAAATGGATTCCATAGAGAATTCAACCATTTTTCACAAACACCGCGCCATGTGAATGCTAATGTTGAATATCTAACAAAAGTGAAACGCTAATAAAACGAATTTACTGTTGGACGACGTAGTTATGTCGCATTATGTGGATAATGGGTTTTAAAACGACATTCTACTAAGTTACGGTCGATGAGGTGTTTTTTGACGGGTACATAAATTATGACTTTGTAATATAATTTAAAAATTTGTATTGTATTTTAATTTCTATCTAAAAAACTATAACTAATTTAATATCTAATTTATGCCTACAAATTAGTCTGCGTGACTGAAACATATTTAATGACCGGAATAAATAGTGGTTTAGATCCACCTTATGTCCGTCTAATGTATTACCAATGGTGAATGGATACAAGTGGCAAAGGACCGTCCTTTACAGGTTCAACA